AAAATATAGTAAATTAATTCTATATTTAGACGGGGTGAGGGTGGGAAAGGTCTGCCCCAAATTTTTTATAAAAAATAAATTTCAATATTAAAAAGAATTTTCTACAAAAGTCACTCATTTACGACAAATAGACACCTTTGACTGTATTCAAATCTATTATTGAGTCGATTGTGTCAACAAGTTCTGTTACAAAACGCCAAATAATTTCTAATTAAAATTATAATAATTTTAATTACTATTTTACTGACCACTTTAGAGTAAAATAGTGTGAATAAAAAAAATTTGTAATAACTATTCATTATTACTATTTTTATTATAAATTATAGTTCTTAATTGAACATTTTTGTAATTATAGCGCATGGTATGTGAACACTTTAACACTTACATCTACCCACTATTACTTGTTTATTCATAAACTCTAGAATACATATTCCGTCTAGAAGATGCTCACCTATGGAGGCACTCACTTTTAAAAGCCGTCGAATATAATTTCAGGAAGTACATCAACCCGAAAGACAAATCATTGACAACCTGGTTATTTGGTGTGACTTGTATTTCGTTCTCATCGAAATGCGTATTTTTCTTCTTAGCAACAAACCTCAATATTTCCTTCAAGATGTTTCCATTGATGAAATTGAATTCTTGGTTCTTCCTTAGAACCTCTTGTTTAACAGTTTGAATCTCATGCCACGCGATGACATTGATTTCCATTCGACTATTTGGTTGTAACATTGATTGAATTGGGACATAAGGCGCAAAGAAGTACGTCACGTCTTTCTTTCCCAATTTAGTCTCGACGCACTCTTCGATCATATACTGTTGAATATTCAATCCAATCTCTTCTTCAACTTCTCTGACTGCACACACCATCGGCGCCTCTTTAATTTTCATTTTGCCCTTAGGCAACCCCCATTTGTTCGTCCCAAAGCCTTGGACAAGTAAAATGTACTCCAACGTCTCGTCCAATAAAATCGCTCCATAGCATGGAATGTTCGACTTGTATGCGTTAAACTCCGAAAGAGTCCGCTCAAGGGTGTTTGGCCCGAGCGCGGGTTTCATTGGAAAAAGGCAAGGGACAAGTGATGCGGCTTTTATGACAAAATCGGAAAATTCCGAGGGAGGAAGCTCGGGGTAGAGGAGGCGGTACACATCTATGTAGTACCACCACGACTCCTCAAGCATTAAAAGCTTGTCGTTGATCGTTGGCAAGTCGTCGGGTACAAACTCCGACACTATCATTTGAAAGACGCGTGTGACTGAAGGTGGCGGGACAGTTTCAGGGTGTAATTCTAACTTGCGTTTCATGGAAAACAGTGAAAACAATTTTTCAAGTTCTTTTCAACAAGAAAATACCACTGAAAACCTTTTGGTCTTCTTTCTCTTTTTGCAAACACTTTAATATCTATTATGATTCAACTTAACTATTAATTTAATTATGTTTTATTAATTAATTGGTATAATTAATATATGGTATTTTTTAATTATAAAAACTATAATGAATAATTTTTGAATTAATAAAAACTTGAAATTATAATTATTTTTCTAAAATAAAATTTAAACTATATAAAATAGTTGTTTTTTATAAAATACTATTCAATATTTTATAATAATATATTATTATAAAATATAATATAATAATTAATATATATAGTCGGGTGATAAAGGGGGTTAATTTGGGACAGAAGTAGTTAATTTGAGTAAAAAACTATAAAATATAATTTATTTAACCATAAAAGTATTAGAAGGGTTTTTTCAATTAACTACTTTGAAAATAATAAAAGAAAACCATAACTTTCTATTTTTGATATTATTCAATCTTTGAAAACAATGGAAGAAGAAGAGAAAGGAACCCTTGATGAAATAACCACAGGCAATCAACATAAAAAAGCAATTTAAATACAAGAAACCAGTTTAAAAACTGTATTTCAATATATATTCACGATGTATATGGTTAAAATGCCAGAGTTTAATGAATTAACAACAGTGTCAATTTTTGAAAGTGTCAGGGAATCACTGAAAAATCATCATTTGTTATTTCAATCTTTCAATCTTTCGTTGTTGAACCATTTCCATTGAGAAAAGATAAGAGAAAGACCATTTTAACATAAAAACAATTGGAGTTGAAAAAGAGCAGAAAAGAAATGAAACAAAGGAAAAAACAAAGGAAAAATTCTTTAACAAAACAAGTTTCAGACAAACCATAAAAAGTGCTGCGTTTTAGACTTCCACATTTTTTAAGTGAACAAATTGAGGTGTTTTTGTTTATTTTTGAAATAGAAATTTATAATTTTTCAATTTATAATCATTTAAAATAAAAAAACTATAATTTATATTAATATTTTAATTTTATGTTTATTTTGACCTTTAAATAGATTTTTTTAAAATTATAGTTTCAAAATTATATTTATCAAAATTAACTACCTTTGTCCCTTTTTAATGCCATTTATCCCCCGACTATATAATATATTTTAACTTACAATTTTTATATTATAATATATATATTTGATTATTATTCTTCAAATTTAAAAATATAATAAATTTATAATTGATTTTATTATTAAATCAAAAAGGTATTAAAAAGAATTAATAAAAATGAAATAATTATTAATACAGTAATAAGAAAACACCATAAAACCACCGACACGTCAAACCGGGTAACGACCTTTCACAAAGAATTATGGAGCAAAGCTTCGCACCAAAATGTTTGTTGTGTTTTTGAGGAAGCTGAGAAGCACATTGACTTTCCATCTGCCTCGAAAATGAACGCGTTTTTTATTGCTTGTGACATAACAATAGAAACAGTAAAGTCTTCTCCCATTCTACACACAGTAACTGGTTCCAAACAAAATCCGTCTAAAAATCCAACATCATTCCCAGAAATTTCTTGAAAAAACTTCCCAAGTAAAGTTTTCTTTTCTAACACTTTTCCTTGGAAGGTTTTGATTTTACTCACCAAAAACAACTTTTCAAAGACAAAACACACTCGAATGACGTCGTCTTGGACTTTCACTTTGTCGACATCAACGACTCGCAAAAATCCAAAGAAGTATAATTCCTGTGGTTCAGGGAGTAGTCCCGGGTCTTTTAAAAATAGACTCCCAACTCTCTTCGCATTGTCTTTCCGTTGTGTCAAAGACTTCTCTCTATCGACCTCACCCTCGACACTCTCTATTTTCTCAAACGCACTCCAAATCGATGCAAAGTCAAAGTGATGTTTCGAGACATTCAACGCGAGGTCGCGCATCACCGCACCATACTCCGTGAAGTGTAAAATAGGGGTAACCAAGTATGTTGACACGGGGAGGAGAGTGTTCCCCACAAACCCCGAGTCTTTCGCTCTTTTCCTTTTAATATATCCGGTGATACTTTTCACAAGGCTATCGGTCAATTTTTGTGACTGTGAAAAGACGGGAAACACGTCCAAAAAGTATGGACACTTCAATATGTACTTTGCATATACTCTTAATGATTCCGCATGGTTCTCTAAAATACTCCCAAGCCTCACAGTCGACTTTTCCTCCTCGTCCGTCGTCGGGTCCGAAAACGCCAAGTCCAAATCCGAAACGATTTGTTTGGTTAACACTAAAATGGGCTCAAACGTCTCTTTGATTTCCACCGGAAATTCTTTCTGACTCGAGTAGTCTACTTTCTCCAAATAGACTTCATAAAACTCGTCAAGGATCCTTAAATAGTCTTTCTCCTTCATGTAAAAGTCTTTACAAATCGTCCGATACACCTCGCAATTATCTTTCTGGAAGTAGAGCTCTTCATTCTTGTTTTCACTCTGTGGTGATATATAGACTTGCATCTCCAGCTTCTTCTTTCCACTCTTTTCATTATAAGTCCGTGGAGACACAACACTGGAACTTGGTGTCGTCGGTCTGTAAAATGCCTCTGAGAGTTTCTGTGTGATCACAAACCGGATTTTCTGTTTCTTTCGATTCACAATTTCACGAATGGTCTCCACAAACGAAGTGACTTCTTCTTCACTCGGTTCATTCAAGTCCATCATCTTGGAAATCCGTTCAATCCGCTTCGTCTGCTCTTCGAGAGTCCACACGCGAAGTTGTTTATCTTGAAGGTTCTTCACCAATTCGTCTTTCTCTTTTTTTAACTCTTCTATTTGTCGTGCTTCAACACAGGACGTCGTTCGAAAGATTTCTTGTTTCGACGGTTGAGGCTTTATACACAGATTTGACGTTGATATGTCACACTCATTCTTTTCTGAAAAATGCCGCTTTTTGTACTCATCTTCTTTACTCTCCAATTCAGTCTCTCGCCGAAGTAAATCGCCTTGTTTCTCATTCAGCGTCTCTTCCTTTTGTTTCAACTCATCTTCCCACGCCTGAAGCTCTTCTTCATGATTTTCTGTTTCAATTTGGACGACCAACACTCTTTGTAAGAACTTCTTTATTATTTACATTAGAACAATTTTAGATGGTTGTTGAATAGAGTCGATTCTAAATAAAAATTAGTTGATAACAAACCCTCCTTCTCTTTATTATGAATATTAATTTCTTTCTGTAAGACGTCTTCTTCTCGTTTTTTCAAACACATTTCTCTGTGAATCAAGTCGTCTGTAGTAACTTCAGAGATATCGGCGATATTAGTGGGTTGACTCTTTCTTGGAGAGTGTATGACGTTTTCTATTGCACTTTCAAGTGATGACGTAACAGGAGTCGAAGACAAGGAAAATATCTTCTTGTTTCTTTTGAGAGAAGGAGACACAAAGAGTTCACCTCTGATACTATTTGCATTGCTTTTATTGGGCATTTTAATTAATTTGAAACTTTGACTCCTCTCTACTATTGAAAATAAGTCTTGTTCTTGCACTGAATGTGAGATGAGCGCCCCAGAGCTTTTCGACATGCCAGAAATAGAAAGCCTATTTATTGTTGGCATCAAAGTCCCTTTCGATGTGCATCTCTCATTGTCTGTTAATTCCAATTGTTTTGTCTTGACCTTCTCGATGTCCTCTTTGTGTTCATCTATCTGTTTCTGAGTATTTTCAGGGCTTTTATAATCAGTAATAATGATGTTGTCATCAATGTGTTTTGGCTGTGTACTGGGACAATAATCCAAATTAATTTTCCGTTTCTCTTTCGCGTTTTTCTCTTCGCAACGAGTCACTTTTGTTGCACTCGTTGTCTCATTTGAAGTACTTTTGGGAAGACCTTGTGTCACTTGCAGTGGTGAAAGTAATTTCATATTTGACTCTTTAAATTGGGTTTGTTCAATTCTTTTGAGTGATGACTGCATTGCAACATTTATGTTTAACACATTGGTGATTTGACTATATATAGTATTAAGTGTAACACTCCCCTCTTTAACTTCTTTAGTGTTGTTCCTCATCATACACTCTCGAAGAGTTTCATTCTCGCTTTGTGCCTCAGATAACATTTTCTGTGTTTTTGAAAGCAATTCTTCCCATTGTGTTCTTTCGCTACACACAAATCGATAATTTTCGCGTATCATGTTCTCAACACTATGGTCGAAGTGTTGTTTGTCTTTTGTATTTGTGTTTTTGGAAATGATGGACCATACCTTGGTGACTTCACTGAGTTGTTGAACACACTTGTATTCGTCATATGGTGTATCATTTTTTAAGACTGTCATCCAAATGTAATCCTTTGTTAAAATGTCGGATTTGTTGGAGGTCAATCGAATGTTAGGCTGGACAGTAGTCTCTCTATCCTTCTTGGACCAAAATTTGAAGGCACTGTGTGTGTTACAGTTGTCACTCATGTGGTTGATTACTTAATGTTTAAGAAGACAATAACAGTTAAGGAATTTGAATAACACTTCTCCATTTTTATATATTTATAAATGTGAATCTATTTGTTGTTTTTGGAATTAATAATTTACTAGTTCTTTTATTATTAATGAACTATTTAATATTAGTATGGTGAATCATTTTTGAAATGTGTTTTGGTGATTTAAAGTTTGGTTTTGTTTTAAACAATTGGTCATTTTTTTTAGTTTAATAAATGTAAAAAATAATTTGTTTTTTTATTATTAATGTAATTATTATTATTAATATTTTGTATGTTTTTTTTGAATTATTGTATAATAATTAAATAAATAATTATATAAAATAAATAATTAACCAATTATTGTTTTTCAAAAAAAAAATCTTTGATGTTTTTAAGGTGACCTTGAAGATTCATCAAAATACTTGGGCTGACAATAATTATTTAAAGTCATAAACACACACAAAATAATGAATAAATGGTAACAAAAAGTTTAAAATGCGTGTTAAATAATTAATAATTCATAAAAATAAATTATTAATTATTTTTCCACTTGAAAAAAATGAAAACAAAAAAATATATTTTAAAATAAACCAAATATAAAAAGTAGAATTTAAACTAAACCTAAAACGTATCTAAAAAATCATTGTTAATGGAGGAAAATAATATTACCATCCCCAAAAAACCAAGAAAACAAAGAAGCGATAAAGAAAAGAAGAGAAAAAACAAAACTGAGCAAGATACCGATTATTTGAAACAAAAAACGGAATACGAACAAACAATAGCACAAACACAAAATATAAGTCCAAATATTACCAAAAAAGTGTTTAAAAAAACAAAAAATATCAAAACCTGAAAAGACTGAAAGTGCAACACCTACAATTCCATTTAAAATACCAGTCAAAACTATATTGGAGTATTTAAACCCAATTGTTACACCATCTTATAATATTCCAACTATACCAACAATAACAGGTAAATGGCCCGAATACGAAGAAGACCACATTTTAAATTTGAAAGAAGTAACATTATTAACTCAAAACACTTTTTTGCCTCCAAAAAAAACCTTCCACCGAGGAAATTATAAAAACAGAAATAGAATTTCAATCGTGTAATATCGACATTATAAATCACATAATTCAGAATGAAGTACAGATGGTAAATTTATGTGGAATGACATTTTCACAATTTTATTCTTTTTGTGATTTACTAAATTCAACAAATTATGAATTTAGAGGAAATGAATCTATTAAGAAATGTTATTTTATACCACTAAACACTCACAACAGAAACAATCATAAAAACAGAATATTCTCATTCCAATCACTGATTTTTATGGTTTTAGTTTATTTAAAAATGGGTGTTAATATTAAAACTTTGTTTATGTTGTTAAACATCGAACAATTCAAATGTATGAGTAAACAAAAAGAAGATGAGACTGATGATAAATACAGAAAGCGTGTCAACAAAAGAATGTCAGGTTTTATTGGATACCAATTCAGGACTTGTATGTTGTATTTCACAAAAACTTGCCAACGGACTTTCATAAACTTAGTAAAAAACAATCCCGATGTAAATATTCCATTTGCAGTTGGCAGACTTTTTGAACAATTGAAAAGGTTTCCTTGGGCACTCAACACTTACACAGCAATTGATACAATGCCACACTGCATCAGAAGTGAAATTATCAAATCTTTGAATTTTAGAGGAGATGAAATCAATAGAAGGGATAGATATAACTATAATGTGAAAGTAAACAAATCATGTAAAAAAAATCGAGGTTGTAGTTAATTCACTTGGCTTTATTGTATCCTATAACATTGCTGAAGGTTTTGTTGCTGATCAGAAATTACATGCAAGTTCAAGAGAGTCTTATTGTGATGTAGGTCATGCTTCATTGGGCGATTTGGGTTATTTCAAAAAAAACCAAATATACATGCACACTCCATTAAAAAAATGTCAAAAAAGGAAGAAGAGAAAAAGGAAAAGGCTCTTGATTATAACCATTCACATTCGGCATACAGAAACATAGTAGAACACACATTTGGGAGGTTACACAATTTTTTTCGTTTTTTCAGGGTGACTTATGAAAATGATCTGAGTTTATATCCAAGTTTTGTAACTTTTGCTTTATCAGTGTATAACTATATGTTACCTTATCAACCTCTACAAAACAAAAACAACAAGCCAAGAAGTTGTCGAAGAAGAACAACAAAATAAATTAGATGATAAATTAGAAAAGTCCTTAATTCATTCGAACCAAAAAATGGAATAACAGAAGTCAGTAATTGTTTTGATAAGTATTTAAAGTGTGAAAAAGAAGTTTGTGGTCAAATCGAAACGAAAAATAAAGATGATAATGTGATTGATGTTGCTGACAATTGCACTAATTATACAAGTTTGGGTTTTGATACCGAAAAAGATGTTATTTCGTTGATATCACAAAAAATGTATGAAATAGTTGGTAAATCACACGACATAAGTGTTTCAGAAAATGTCAAAAATAACACATGTACACATTTAATGGTTGATGAAAAACAGTTTTTAAAGAAGACACAAGTTTTAAAGATACGATAACTTATAGTAATTCAGAAGAATTACTAACTGGTTGTTTTCCAGATCAACAAAATGTTGTTAGGAAAATGCTTTCCGATAAAGATCTCAATGATTATGTGAAAGATGTTGTAAGTGTAAATAATGTAACAAATGTTTGGATTGCAGATACTTTTTTCTTTGATGTAACCTATAATGTATTTGAGGAACCAAATAACTTTAATCGCAAACTTGAATATTTTGGCTGTGTTAAAAAAGCAGACAAATTGTTATTTCCTGTTTTTGTACCTCCAAGAGAACATGGGCATTGGTTTCTCATGGTTCTAGAAAAGAAAAACGACAATGTTTTTATATGCAGTGTATTGGATAGCTTAAATACTTGGAATGAGCAATTGGTTGCAAATAAAATATCAAAAATGAAAACTTTTTTAACTGGAATTGATTTTGGTAAAAGTGTTATTCAAATTGTTGATATAAATTATGTTAGTGTACCACAACAAACAAATGGATTTGATTGTGGAAGATTTGTTGTCTACTTTATCAAGAAAATATTGGAGAATAAATTCAACACTGTGGAAATGATTGCGAAAGATTTTGAATTTAATGAAGCTCAAATTTTCTTTGATAAAATTAATTAATTTTTTATTATATGTTATTTGGTTAAAAAAAGAAATAAATGCCGATTAACAAAAAAAATAATTAATTCGACCCAAAAGATCTTAAGATCTTTTGGGTATTGACAATCTCGAGAGTAGCCTTTATAATTAAAAATTATTATTTTTTTATAATTTAAAAATAATTATATTTACTATACTAAACTTGTTTTTTTTTATTCACTATAATAAAAGATATTTAAATTAATACAAAAAATTAAAATAAATTATTTTTACAGGGGAGATAAAAAACCGCTTCCATTTAATTTTATAGATTAAAATAATATTAATATAATAAAATGTATGGTACTGTATACCATGAAAGCTGAAAATGCCCCATCAAGACTTTTTTTGTCCGAGGTGATAATTTGTATTATAATTTTTATTATAATGTTATTAGTTGGAACATTAAAACGATATAACTTAAAAACACTCAAGCATTTTTTTTCCTCCATAATTGAGAAAAAAAAATAGGGTTTATTATTATTAAATAATTTAAGTTGAATCAAATTACAAACTTATCAATTTATTAAAATTTTAAATAAACTAATTATGATTTAATTTATTTTTAGTCAAAAGAATAAAAAATAAAAATTACACCATATATAGTTTAACTTACTATACATTATAGTTACCAGACTTTTTCAAAATAACAACTAAAAATAAACCAATGAACAAACTGATTATAAAAATAAATCGATATTTTTAAGTAATTATAATGATTATGAATATAGAACTTATTAGTAAATTTGATTTATCAATTAGAGAAAACGAAAAAGATAATGAATGTTCATCTTAACTAAAAGTATATTTATCATGTCGACTACTGTAGCACAGCCTGTCTTTTCTGTTGATTTAAATATGGTGATGACGTATCAGAAAATGGTATGTCCTACACTTTCCATTCCCCTTCTACTTCTCCAAATACGCGATTCGTTACTCAAGTTTGGTGGCGATAAGACGGAAGGCATTTTTAGACTTTCTGCGAAACAGGAGGAAGTTGATTGTTACAAGTTGCGGTTCAACAAAGGGGACTACTCGATATTTAAAGAGTGTAGTTGTCATACATTGGCCAGCCTTTTTAAGCTTTTTCTCAGAGAATTACCAAACCCGGTCATCCCGTCGAAGTTTTACGACAACTTTGTCAACGAAGATGTTGTCGAACAATTTGAGAAAGACCCGGACTCGATTTTAAAAGCACTTGAAATCCTTCCCGCTGTCAACAAATCGACGGTCATCTTTATCATCAATTTCCTCCAAACTGTTTCGCGGAATGAAAGCGAGAGTAAAATGGGGGTCGACAATTTGTCGATTATATTCTCCGCTTGTATGCTTGTCTCAAACGATTTGGACCCTTTCATGGCACTCACCAAAACAAATTTAGCCAAGGCTTGTATCGCGGCAATGATCGAAGGTCTTCCGCAGTCCGCAATCAACATGGTGAATCTCTCCTACAATGATTATGACCACAATGGGTTACTCTTACTTGACGAAGACCCCGTCGTTCAGTTCATTGAAGAAAAACAAAAGAAGAAGGAGATCAAAGTCGAAGCAAAGAAAGGTATTTTCCGTACACGTGACAAGACCGTTTCAAGGCCCGAGAAATTGCATTTGAAAACAAGTTCTGAGATCCCAAAGAGTGTGACCCTCTTAACAGCGTCAGCCTCTTCTTTACTTGGCGATCACAAACGGGTGACATCCGGTGAGTTTAAGACACAGTCCGCGCGCAATTCCACAAGTGTTTCTCAAATGTTTGATATCGTGACCCTCCCCGACAGACTCAAGTTGCCCTCTTTTTTAAATACAAAAGTGTTTTCTACAACGAATTGATTATTTCTTATTATTCCCTTATGATAACTACTTTATAGGAGAAAACCAAACACGTCTCAACAAGGTCTGAATAAAGTCTTACTCATCATTTTCCATATCAGAAGTCCACAAGGTCATGTTATCTCTGAGGAGTTGCATGATGAGGGTGGAGTCCTTATAAGTTTCTTCGGGGACTTCGTCGAGCTTTTTGATAGCTTCATCAAAAGCTTCTTTAGCTAATTGGCAAGCCTTCTCTGGGTCGTTCATGATTTCATAATAGAAAACAGAGAAATTCAGAACAAGACCAAGTCTGATAGGGTTGGTCGATGGCAACTCAACCTTAGCAATGTCCATAGATTCAGTATAAGCCGCAAGAGACTTGTTTGAGACTTCAGTTCTCTTCTCACTGGTGGTGAATTCGGAATAATATCTATAGTAATCACCTTCCATCTTCTTGAAGAAGACTTTGGATTCAGTGGAAGTGCAGTTTGGTAACAAATTGGTGATGATGACGTTCAAGACATCGTCACACTTCTCTGACAACTCCTTCTCGATTTTAATGCGGTAGCCCTTGATCACTTCAACTCGTTGTGTATTGCCTTTTGCTTGTTCCTTTTGTTCCAAAGAAGAAATGATTCTCCAAGACGCTCTGCGGGATCCAACGACGTTCTTATAAGCTACACTGATCAAGTTACGTTCTTCGACAGATGGCTCGACCTTTGTCTGCTGGAGTTGCAAAGTAATCTGCTTCATGAAGTCCGCCATTTCTTCATAGCGCTCACTTTGCTCGGCTAATTTGGCAAGAAATACTAAGTCTTCACGCGATGTCATCTTTCTCTGAATTTTGCAGTTCTGAGGTCTTTCTATCTTATTTGACTTGAAAAGGTGGGCTTCTAATTCTTTTCTAAGACTTTTTCCATCATTCTTTAGTTGTTGGCTTTGAGTTTTTTGACACTATTTTTGGTACTCTTTTGTTTACGACAATTATACGGAAATAACAGCTATGTTTGACTTAAAACTGCAGGATTTGATTATTTTTTGAATTGTATTTTTAGAACATTTTTTCCACAGTGTGAATTAAATGAATTTTTTTGTTATTTGCACATCCAAACATGTAAAACACCGGGATGAGTTGTTTAATTGATTCAATATAAATAACTTCGATTAAGAAGATGAAGAGATAATTGCATATTTAAAAAATAACACCTTTTTAAACTATATAACAGTAGTATTTTATATTATATAATGGAAATAATTGTTTTCAAACTATTAAAAATGCACAACCAAAACAAAAAATGATCTTGGGATAATTGAAAAATGTGAGTAGTTAATCTTTTTTTTATTTAAATTGCAAATATTTTTATAAATAACCAATTGAGTTAATTATTAATTCATTAACACAAATGTATAGAATAAATTATTATATTTTTATCTAAATATACTAGTTAAACAATATTGAAATTAATAAAAAGTACACGTTAATTCTTTCAATTTCAAGAAGGAATTCAAATACTATATATTATAATATACAATATAATTGAATATAGTAAATTATTCTAGAAAAAATCCAATCAAACATCATTTTTTTATTACAAATTACAAATTAAATAATACTTGTCTGATATTTATTCATCAATTCATTGAAAAATTGATGAATTTTTTAATGAATTGATTCTTATTAAATCATTAAAAATTTCTTTTAAACACAATTAATATCTTAATAAGTCCAAACCATCCTCAATTAATATGAAATTAGACTATAAAATAAACTTTGCTTTTAAGATCAATAAAAAAATCAGACATTCCTAAAGGACAATCTTGGCACGACATTCATTGACTGCATTTCTTGGAAAAGGAGTTTGCACGCATAAGGCATAGTGATTGTCGAGCAATTCAAAGACGACTGACAGTACTTGCAGTACCCACAATATCCCATCAATCCGCACTTTCTACACACCGTCACTTTGAATGCGTCTGACGAATACATCAACCGTTCAAGTAACAAATTCGACGCTCCGTATCCAATCAAGCAATCTCTCTCCATCTCCCCAAGTCTTAACCCACCATCTCTCGATCTTCCTTCTGTCGGTTGTCGCGTTAAAGAAGACTTTGGACCTCTCGCACGGGCGTGCATCTTATCCAAGACCATGTGTTTCAATTTTTGATAATACACAGGACCTATGAAGATGTATGCTCTCAACGTCTTTCCAGTGATCCCCGAATACAACACTTCTTTGCCGTCATACGAGTACCCACTCTCAATTAGAATCTTCGACATGTCGTCCAACTTGTCGCCACCAAATGCAGTGCCATATTTGAACGTCCCATCCATTAACCCGGCTTTCCCACTCACTAACTCTAACATCTTCCCGACCGTCATACGTGACGGGAAACCATGCGGATTCATAATCACGTCTGGACATATCCCATCACCAGTAAAAGGCATGTCCTCTTGTTTCACAATGAGTCCAGTGACTCCCTTCTGTCCATGTCTTGACGAAAACTTATCCCCCAACTCTGGTCGACGTGATGTCCGTAACCCTATTTTGATCTTCAAAGGCTCTTCATCAGAAGAAGTAATTAATACTTTATCCACATAGCTCGGAACAGAACCTTTGTATGTCAGAGCTTCGCGTCTGAAGTCTTCATCGGTTGGTACGTCTGTTGTGATAGGTCGGGTCGTGTTGTTGGGAGCTTGCTTGTTTAAATAGATCATCCCCGGCATGAGTTTAGTTCCTGGAGAGCAGACGCCATCAAAGTCAAGTACTTTGTACTTTTTCATCGCTCGTTCTTCGTCAGTTGGACACACAACTCTATCGCTCATCCCATTGCGATACTTCTTAATAACAACATCCGCCTTTCTGTATACAAAACATCTTTGGTAGCCCCTGTCGATGGACGCTTTGTTCAGTATCGAGGCATCTTCAATATCATATCCCGAATAACTCATCACAGCAACCATAGCATTCTCTCCAGCAGGCACTTTGTCAAAATTAATCATGTCGATTGTTTTTGTCCTAACCATTGGGACTTGTGGGTAATACAACAGATACAGCAAGGTGTCGATTCTTTTAAACTGATTATACCCAATCGTCCCTATAGCCTGCTTACCCATAGCACATTGATATGTGTTACGTGGAGATTGATTATGATGTGGATATGGAATAAGACCCGCAACAACACCAAGAATAGACAATGGATCAATTTCAAGATGTGTGGTGTGTTCGTTGATCTGGTTCTCGTATATCGCAATGTATGAGTTGTTCTCTTCATTCACGTCCAAGTACTCGATCATCCCGTCTTTGATACAATCCTCAATTGTCTTAAACCCTTCCACTATATCACGAATTTCTTTGGGCCCAATTTTACTCTTAGCATTCTCAACTACAATAAGTGGACGACACACTCTCCCTCCATCCGATGAAATGTTTATACTCCTCTGTGTCTCGTTCAAATGCAACGACACTTTCTTCCCAAGTCTCCCGTGTCTTCTCAGTACTCTGCATTGTCTCAAAAAGTGAATGGGATTTTGGTGGATCCCAAGTAACTGTCCATTCAAAAAGACTAAGTAACTGTTCTCGCTATTTAACTCGTCCCCAGAAATCAAATTGGCGTCTTCAACTCCCAAATTGAATAACATGGTCATAATGGCTTGATCATCAGAGTCTGTTGTGACCTCGGTTAACAACGAAAAGTTCTTCACTAACCCACAAGACTCTCCTTCGGGGGTGTCTGAAGGACACACCATACCCCATTGACTCCCTTGTAAACTTCTCGGCCCAGATACCTTTCGTGTTTTTTCAAAGTGTGAATTGAGACGAGTCATCATACCCAATGCACTGATATAACTCAATCGAGATAGTACTTGTGTCACTCCGGCGCGGTCCATATTAAATCTCTTCAACACCCAGTTACCAGTGGAAAGTGCGTGGATGAGTCCAGTTGTTATTCTGTGTGGTGAAATGTGCTTTAGAATGTCAAAACTTTCACTTCGTGTCTTCTTCGAGAGTTCCTTTGTCGCTATAGTCTGCAGTTCAGTGTTAAATTGTTTAAACAAATCTTCGAATAACAGCGACATCATTTGTCCTGCCAATTCCATTCTTTTGTTACCATAATAGTCCTTGTCGTCCAACTCTCCTGTTTCATCCGCTTTCAAAATCCAACTGACCATCAGCGCAATGTATATGATTTTGGTCTTAAAGTTGTATCTAAGGACTTCGATATGAGGAAGAATCAAATTTGCTAAGACATCTCGAGCTTCGTCGACTTTGGGTCTCTTAGAGATATACCCCTTTTGCCCAGTATATATCTTCAAATGGTTCCCGACATATCGAAGAGCCTCGCGCTGATTTAAAACATTCTTTGTCTTGCACTCCTCAATCGAATTGATCATCTTACTCGTATAACTGTTCCCAACGAATTGAAGAAATTCCATATCACTCTCCATCCCCATAGCTTTGATGATGATCATTACAGGAACGTCCTCAGTCAAACTGTTGTGCTTTAAATACAACTTTCCCCTCTTCAAATACACTACTGTTCTTGACTTGACTTCGTGTGTGGCTGACGTCACAGAAGCAGACAAAAACCCTTGCGAAGATGTCTCAATCAAAATTCTGTTCTTGGACATCTGTTCTTGAGAGAGAATAACTCGCTCAACTCCTTTCACAACAAAGTATCCTCCGGGGTCCATTGGACACTCTCCATGTTTCATAAACTGATCAAAAGTGTTGTTGTAGAGGACACAGTGTTTGCTTTGTAACATGATTGGCATATATCCAATGGTCACAGTCTTTCGATACACTTTCTTGTCTCGTGTGAACTCTATTGAAGCTTGGATCGGCGCTGTATATGACAAATCTCTTAATCGACACTCCATAGGTGTTATTGGCTCTTTCTTGTAATTCTCTTCAACACACGGTTGGTGAACCCAGACGTCCAAGTACTTCAAATAAAATTTTGAATCTGCGTCACAAGTGACTTTGTCGTTCGCTCGTACAATTTGGCGAATTTCTTCGTCGATGAAGTAATTAAACGAGTCGATGTGTTGTCTGACAAGCCCTCGCGACTTCACAAAAGCGGGAATAAGACGCCATTTGTCTTCGGCGGTATTAACTGGTCGTCCTAGATTTGGGCAGTACACCTCTTCGGCGTCTTCCATCGGAATGTTGTGTGTTTTCACATACTCCATTGATTTCCGATCTATCTCTTCTTCCATCAAAATCTACTCTTTTGAAGTTTCTCATTTTTTGTGTTTATCAAAAGGGTTTTTTTAATCACTTATTGAAGGGTGTTTTCCTCTGTTTGTGTGGGATTCATTTTTATTGGGCTGTTTTTTAATAATTTAATTTATCATATTTTATCATATTTTTTCTTTTTTGAATATTATTATAATTTTAATATCTTATTAATTCTGTTCTATTTCTTATATTTAATAAATCTTTTTTGAGTCAATGAATAACATTTATAAAACATTTTATTTGTATATCATTTTAAAAAACAAAAATAAATCTTTGATTTCAAAAAAGAACTAAAACTTGTTTTTGTAAATATTTATTTTTAAAAATTTCAAACAAAAACTTAGTTTAAAATATAGTTCTTATTGTAATAAATGAACCATTTATTATTATCTAGAAAAATTATAAAAATTTTTATGTAAAAAAAGTTTTTTGTCTATTTTTTTTTTTTTCAAATATTATACTAAAAACAATGTTAATTTTATCATTATAATAAACATTAGATTGTATTTTTTTATTTGCTAAATTCGTTTTTAGAGAATTTTTAAGAATTTGAAGGAAATAATTATAACAAACCCTTTTTTAGACCATTCTTAAAAATATTTTAACGGAATTTAATAAAAAAGAAAATAAGAAAATAACATTAAAAAAATAAACAATTAAAACACAATCCGATATAACTTTATTTTTAGGAAATCTCGTCATTTGATTCTAAAAATCAAAACATCGAATTAATATAAAATTAAAACAAGAAAAAAGCAAACAATCGTTTCTTCTATGCGGACTGTGTTGAACCAAATTCGCGAAGTACAATATGGGTTACCGACTTCTCTTTCAATTTTCACGGATTCTCAGGTACAGTCCGTATATAATGCTTACACATCTAAAGATATACCAGTCTTACACACACTTCTCATGTCTTATAAAGAGGACGTTTTGAACTCAAACAAATCGGAAAAGCAAACTTCTCACTTTTTTCAAAGCGGGATGTACGCGTTGTGTAAAGAGATGTTAAGTGACGATTCACACGCATCAGACTTCTTGAAGTGTAAAGCAGAGATTCTTTCGATCTTTCTCTTTTACATCCAACTCCAATTTTTTAATACCACTCTCTGCACTTTCGAGTTAACGACACACACGATAGCTTTGTTAAAGTACCACGAGACATTCCAGATGTCATGCATCACGTCTTTCAATTTACTGAACACTATGGAGGATTACGCTTTGGACAACTACATGGACATTTCAAACACGTTAAAGAGTCTCTCTATATTCGATATAGGAAGAGTCGAACCTACACTATATAACATGTTGTGCCAGAACGATGAAGTGACAAAAAAGAATGCGGAGTTTCTTTTAAATTGTGGTGTACTTACCAAGGTAGTAAGATTATTCACAATGGTTTGTGTTGTATATCTTTCATTTGTGTTTAATCAAAGGAGATGAATATATAAATTCTTAATCTGAATGACTAACACGTAGAGTAACACACTTCAAACAACAACAAATCTCTTTCAACGACTTACAATTGTGCCTGAACGCTCAGCCATTGAGTCAACAGAAGTATTAGCGAATTATTACTTTGAGCACTATCCAAAAGTTCAATTTGAAATCACCGATTTTAATTCTGTGTGTATGTCGCAGATGAAGATATTGTTTTTCATTGTGTACTCATTTGTAACGCACACAGAAAGGGCAACTGATGTGTTAGTTCAAGATAATTTTGATCAGGTTCTTTCTAACATTTACGACAAATTTGACTACACGGAAATGCAGAGCAATGAGAATACAAATGCTTCACCAGCAAATTCACTCTTTGAGTTCTTCAACGAATTTATACAAGGGGTCTTCAAAAGTGGTTCCAAACTCTTGTTTTCTGAAGACGAGAAGAATGGTGTTTTCGATAAGAAAAAGGGAGTTTTGGCTTTGATAGTGAGAGACCTTGTGATGGACGATATACCACAAAATTATCGAGATGTGCTTCTTGGAACAGTGGAATCATCATGTCGGAGAATTAGTGTCAGTTTAGAGAAGTATATTGGGATTGATCTCGGGTTTCTAAGGTATTTGGTTGAGTTCATCAAGCATGAAACCGTCAGTTCAAACTTAATTCACGCATATGATTGCATTGGTGCTCTTATTAAAAACAATATGGATGGGCTTGTAGAGATTATGAAGTACTGTGAAATATCAAATGTCTTGGATTGTGCTGTGCAAAATCCGTTCTGCTCGAGTGTGTTGTTGCGAACACTAATTATGTTAGAGAATAAACCCATGGGGGTTGAAAACTGGTTTTCTGAGAACACACATCTTATACTTTTCAACGTAATAAAGTATTTTGAAAAGAACGAAATTTCATACTCAAATTTATGTTGTTTAAACACTGGGATGATCGGGTTAATAAGATATAAAGACAAAATCCCAGATATCTTGCAGAAGATGAAGAATGTTCAGAAGGGTGAAAGTTGTAATGAGGGTTTACTAGGACTAGTGAATAAATGGGAGAAATACTACGAACCAAGACCATTGTGTTTAAAGGAACTTGTCAGTGTTACAAAAATCGAGAAGAAGGTGTGGGTTGATATCGTCAAAGAGATTGCTGAAGTCTGCAAAGAGTAATTCGGTTGTATAAATTAGTGTTCTGTGTTCTCATATGAATTATTTTTTGTTTCACTTATCTACAAATACTTGTTTGTCTAACTTACAACCCTCAACACTTTCATAACTTGAAGCTTTTTTAAGAAAACAAATAAAGAAGAAAAAATTGTTCAAATCATTTTTTATTTTATTACAAAACCCAGTAGAGTTGGTGGAAAAAAGTCCGGCTCGATAAAAAAGTATGGCTCTTTTCTTAACTATAGTAAAATATAATATTGTTAATAATAAATTAAAAAAACATTTTATTTTTTCGAAAAAACAAACTATTATAAATTAATTAATTAAAAAGATAGAACTATAAAATTTAATATAGAAAAAAAAACTGAACTCATGATGAATGAAGTTGTTATTTTGAAAAACAAAGTTGATATTTTAAATACAAAAACTGAAATTGAATTGCAAAGTGCTCAATTCGCTTTAAGAAACCAAAAAATGAATTACTACAGTGAATTGATTGAATAAACTTGCTTAAACGACACACTCTGTTTTCTCAAAAGGATGGAGCAAAAAAACAATCAATTGGTTAACAACATTCAGTCAATACAACACAACGAAACAATAAAAAACATCATTTCTGTATTTTTAAGCAGCGAGTTTGTTACAGCAACCGATTCCAATTGTCAAAATATCTTTCATATGAGTCCGCAAAATATTGTGAAAATAAAAAAGAAATTGTTGTTTCTTTAATGCCACATCAAATCATTGAATAACTATCTTTCAAAACAATACTCTTTCAATGATAATTTAGTTTTATCTTCATATGCCATCTTTCTTAATACACGTTTCAATTCCATATTCTGTTTTGAAACAGGAATCATATTTTAATTCGTGTTTATTAGTTTTCTTTCTTATGAAAGTAAACTACTGAATTTTTAACTAAAGTGACTTCCCCAAGGTGGGCAAGTTAAAATTTTTAGTCTTTTTTACAGAGAAAGGGCGTGCAAGACTAAATTTTAGTTCAAAAACATTTTATTAAAAAATGTTATTCGTTTCCAAATTGTTACAAAAAACACACAACCCTTTGGTGCTTAAATTAACCCTTCGAGGACTGAAAAATTTTTATTTTTTTCTTTTTTTTTCAGAAAAAAATTCAAAAAATAATTTCACTTTTCCAAAAAAAAATGAAAATAGAGTCAGCCCGTAAACGTTGTACACTCCCCAAACGTTGTTTTTGGTGTTATATTTTTAGAACTATAGAAAGTTCCCACAATAAACGAAACTATCGGCAAATAACAATAATGTTTACCATGTTAAAACTAAATTTTTTAGCAATTCCCGCTTTAAAACAATTTCAAAGGGTAAAAAAAAGAAATAATTGAATTAAAGCAACTCCAAAACAAAATATGTTAACCCTAATAATCCCACATTTTGGTAATTATTTAACCCTATTATTTATCTTCCTTTTATTTCCAAAAGCAAAAAAAAATGTTCAGAAAAGATAGAAAACAAAAAACTGGATGAGTAAATAAAATTAAAAAATAACACTTTTCAACACAAGCAAGACATAATTTTTATTATGAATAATTTATAAGCTTTTTGAACCACAATAAAATGAAAATGTGGCATCAAGTTAACATAATTATATGTTTGAACATATCAGGGATTCTGGTATGCTTTAATTTAAATCTTTTTAACTCATAGAAAAAAATTCATTGATTCAAAGCTTTTTTGTAATAATACAGTCGAGAGGTTAGCATTAACAATGCTTCGTCTTATTGAAAGCATTAAACAAACGATAAGACGATTCAATTTTTTTAAAAAATACAACAACAAAAAATAACACAAACACATTAATCAAACTAAATTATAATTCAAGTGTTCAGCCTTTATTGTGATTACTAAAGCCAAGTGTTTTTAAAGCAACTGGCTCTTGTAATTCTATATTCAAATAATGTTGCCAAAAAGCATTTATGAGCTGTGTTATAAAACTCACATGTTTAAAACTTTTTTTTGAAAATTTTTTATTCAGTCTATTGCAAAACAAAAAGCATCATAACTTTTAAATTAAACAATTGATAGTTTTATTAGTAAGTATTTTATAGTTAAAATATGGTTTATAATGGATTTTTGAACCTTTAAATGTTTATTATTAAAAAATATAACGGAAACGAATAATATTAAAATGAAAAAAACTTGCAGTAAAATGTATTTGAGTTGAATTTAAATCCGATAAAATATGGTGGTGTATCAATTGAACGATAAATAAAAATATTATAACATTCTATACAAAACTATAAATTATACTATAAAAACCCTTGAAATAATACAGACTTATCATTAGGAAAAAAGAGTGAATAACAGAGCCAACAAAACACCAACGACCTTTATCCTTGATTTTAGAGAACTTAAACATTATCTTTGAACTAAAAAACATAAGATGTTTGTTCTTTGTATTAAATTGAATTGAATTGGAAATATAAATTAACAAACTAGAGGCGACTCCTTGCCGCAACGACCCGACGGAAAACCTCCCCATATACAACCCAATAAGTGGAAACCAACTAACTCTCGCCGATTGAACGGTCTCGACTTGAGATCGTCATTTTGGCATGGTTTCCGGGGTGTTTGTTGATTTCGACAAGAAAAGTGAAGATCTTGAAATTAAATGAATTTATTGATTTTATGTTCGTTTTGATTTGGAAAAAGAAAAACATAATATGAAAAAGAAAATGTTATTAGTAAAGTTATTGGTGTTCTATTTTAAGATTTACATATTTTGTGGAAGATTTAGTCGTTATTTAGAATATTCTGAGGTGTACAATGTTTGGGGAGTGTACAACGTTTACGGACTGACTCTACTGGCGACTTTTCATGAACGATTTAGAATGATTTTTGACTTATTTGATAAAATAGTTCAACTTAAATTCAAACTTTTAAATTATTTATAAAACATTTTATCATTCATAAACTCAAATGAATTGGTTTTTGTTAAAGATTCGTCCTTCAATAAAATATATAATTTAACAAATTAATATTAGTAATAAAAACAATACGAAAATAAACTGTTTTCATAAACAAATAAAAATGTTAATTAAAATTGATTAAATAATATTATCAGATAGAGTACTTGCTACAACGTTGTACACTACTCAAACGTTGTACACCTTAGAATATTCCAATTAAATTGAAACTATATACGGAACATTCTATTATGAAATAAAAATTATTGAAAATTTAACAATAACATTTACTTTCAATAATATGTTTTTCTTTTTATAAAAAACAAATTTCAATTTTTTTAAATCTAAATAAACATAAAAATAATGAAATCGATCAATTTCGAGATCTTTTACAATTTCAATTATAATTGATAAACAAGCTGCAAACCACACCAAAATGACGCTCTCGGGAATGCAACCTTCAATATACGAAGGCTGAGTGATTTTGATTTGATGTATTTTTAGCGGGTGTGTTCATAAAGTTTTCGTAATTCGTGTTATTGTATAAAGTGTTCCGCCGTGTCGTTGTAAAATATAGCGACCACTCTTTCTTTTAATTCTTTTCTGTCAAGATAAACAACAAACCTTTTAATGTTTCACAGTTCAAGGATAGGGTTTAAATTTTATAATGTCAGAAATAGTAGATAAACTCCATTATTTTGGCCTTGTTATTCACTCGGTTTTCCTAATTGCAAATTATAATTGTTTTTAATTTTAATAGTTCTTTTTTGATTATATTATAGTTTTTTAGATAATGTTTTTTTATCAATTAAGTGTCTAATTTTTATCGGTAAAAAAACTCTTATTGATTTTACTTTAAGTTTTTAGTGTTTTTAAATTTTTAGTTTCCGTTATATTTTTTAAATGTATTTAAAAAGTTAATATTTATCAAAACAATGAATCAACTTTCATTCATTATAATTGGTAAGTTTCACTCTCTTGGCTTTGAAAAGAATCAGTCCAAACCTGGTTTCGAGAACTGAGTATTGAACTCCACGATATTTTAGACGAAGTTCTTTAAGTGCCTTTTTAGTGACAAGCTCCATATTGGAAATTGTAAAAGCCAGCTGCTCTTTGAGGGAGGTTAGTTCTTCTGTATTTAGATAAAAGTCTATCTTGCTGCAACTCTGTCTCACCACCTCACAAACTGTCTTCAAGTTGTTCAAAAGGCGAGGCACCAACCCACAAGCTATAAAAGATGAAATAACATTTTTAGTGGTTGTTACCTTTTGCCAAGAGTTAACAATTGATATTATTTGGACTGAGTTGTACGACATGTTATTGTACTCAGTCTTCATGAAAACTTTTTCGGTATTAATGACCCTCTTTTGATTTCCATACACCCCAACATCAAGCATTTGTAAAAGGTGACTCGAGTGGGATGGCAGAAGAAATATCTTCACATTATGACTTGTGAGTAATGAAACCGCTTCAGTGTCAATATGAGAACCGAACCCGTCTATAATAAGACCAGCAGGTCCTGTGTATTTTTGCATTTTTCTTTTTGTTGATATAGTTGGGAGAAAAATGCATTTAAGCCATTCTTTGAACAACATGTTGTTTATAAAAGCTTTCTTGGAATATTTAATACAAGCTGTACTCTTGGTGATTCCCATCTCCATCAACTCTTTTTCAATTGATACATTGGGTACGATGAAAAAAGGAACAGTGGTAGTTCCATCCATACAAACACATCCCATCATTGTGGTTCTTTCTCCGTTTCCATTGAGTGGGAAGTGCATGTTTTCCCCACTTGATGTTGAAGAAACAATGACAGTCTTTGACGTTTTGTCGACCCATTGTTGGTAACCAGATTCGTCACAATTAAATATAAATCCAGTGGGTAGACCAGTTATATTTGTTTCCAAGTAATCAAAATAAGTGTCGATGGATTCTCTGCTCACTTCGATGCGTTCTTCTTCCATTGGCTTTGCTTTGGTGGTCATGATTCTCCTTTCCTTGTTGACAAAGTTATAAAATGCTTTCACAGTCACATCATCACGTCCAAGCGTATTACTAACG